CAGGGTCCACTTGTTTTGTCTCGACTTTGACGCCAGTCTCTCATCAGCGCACCCTGCCCTGTGACCTTTGGGGACAGACAGACAGTCAGAGGTCTCACATACGCATCTATCTGATATCTTCACCATGGGATACTCACATTACACAGATACAGCAGATTTCAGTTCACCAACAACAACCTGTGCTTTGATCTGTTTTGTTATTTCTCCTTGGTGTTTACTCCTGCAGTGTTTCTTGCTCCCTTGGTCTTTTCTCTGTTGGTCTTTTCAGTCAGACACAACAGCAAACCACACCATTGAAGAAGTCACTGCCTGAGTCCAAGAGTACTAAATCACCAGGAAACAGTAAATATGACATCCTTGTGTCACAAAAAACTGGACTTTCTCCAAGTCTGGGCTTGTGCCTTCATATCCTGCGTATGACTAACCACGCCTCTACCCAGAATCAAAACTTCATTGTGCTTTCTGGCACGCTGACCCTGTTTGCAGTTGTCCACACATCTGTGGAGTGTGTGTGGTAGAAACACCCAAAGCAAGCTGTGACTGACAGCAGGTGGTGATTCAGAATGACTTCTATTGACAGTCCTCAAAACACCTGACATAACAGGACGGTGCGTCTGTGTGTTGCATGTGTGTTAAGTTTTGCGGTTTAAAGCGACTGGGTGGACCTGTTCTATCAGTGAGCCTAAAATAATGTGCACACTTTGACACTCTGTCTGCTCCAGTAGCATTCATTTGACTCCGGTATGACAAATGCTAGTTTGTCCCCTGGCCACTATGACCTTTATCTACCTGAAACCAGCCAGCCTGCATTTTTTTTCCATAGTACAAATCACTTTAAAGGAGACTTACCAGGAAACTAAAGCATAGGCCAGAATTAACATAAACCACTCTTAAGCTTTGCTTTTATTAAAAGATCAGGGTATGGTCCTACTTTGTGGACAGCTGTTGACACTGTTTTCATCTTTATCCTGTTTGTATGATTCAGGCACAAAGCAGGATTATGAGTGCCTCCAGGTCAGACTGACTGACAGGCTGGCAATCCTTGTTAGACAAACAAAGCCACACGTACTGACGAAGCGCTCGTATATTATCCATCCGCCTGTCTGTGTCATCTTTCTTCTTATTGTTTGAACCGTTGTAGCTGCTACTGTTTATCTGAGTATCTACTCTAACCCCCCCCTGACACACACACACACACACACACACACACACACACACACACACACACACACACACACACACACACACACACACACACACACACAAATACAGCATTATAACAGAAGGTGCTCTTGTTTAACACGTCACACAAATATCTCTGAAATTCCCCGTCTCAGCCTTGTGATTTTTGCGCCCCGCACTCTACTTGCTCCTCTGTTTGCCCCTTTTGCTTCCCTCAGGTTTGTTCATGTCGCTGACAGGAACACAACTGGAATCTGATGAAGGCATGTCTTCTCCACTTGCCACAACAGCCCTGGGAGGCCTCATGGCTGCTATGTAGCAGCCTACATGCTCATTAGACTAATGAGAGCTCCGGGCTAAAGTAATGGGGATGGTAAACAGAAGCTTAAGGGGAGCAGTAGTGGTGACAGGTAAATATCAGCTTCTTTAATAAAAATGCAGTTTAGGATTTAGACTACGTTCAGCATGCAGACTTGGAAATATACATTTAAACTCACACCTGATCAGCACATGACAGTTTTATCATTTGACTGTGTCAACACATCTTTCACCTGTCTGCAATAATACAACAAGATGAGCACTACAGGACATTTCTCTCAATGAGATGTACAGAGGTCAAAGAGATAACAGGTCTTATTTGGTATTTAAGCTACATCTTAAAAGGGAGTTTGCCTTCTCTAACTGCTCAACTATGACAATATAGAAAATGAGAGAGGCGATGGGAAAAGAGCCGAGTGAATTACTGATAAATTGTCTATTTTAGCTTTGAGCTAAGCCGCTGATTTGGTAGTCTCTGCTGTCGAGTGAGTGGCAGATTGAATCACGTTCACTTGTCAGTATTATTAATTCTTTGTTACGTAAAGATAGTGGCAGTAGTGCAGCTGTCCTGCTTTTTCTTCTGTATCAGAAACATCACTCGGAGGCAGGCACCATACCTGTTTTTCTGGGCCCTAACCCCACACCCCTACCTTTTCCACAAGTTACCGTTTGTTATTTTTCTAGTTATTCTTCCCTGCAGTCTTTTCCTTTTAAAAAAACAAAACAAAAAAACAACTTAGACATGTGCCACACACACAAGATAAATGTGAACTGGAGATCGTCGGTGCTGATTACGATGTCACAAAGGAATTTATTGTGAAACTGCTGCCTGTGTCGGCACCGCGCCAGCGCTGGGGAGCCTGGCTGGCAAATCAACAGTCAGGCGGCACAGTTTTCCCAACCCCCAAGGTTGACATGCCTTTCCTCCGTAGCCTCAGGTGCCCTGTGACTTGTTTATTAAGAAATTACAACCAGTGTTTTTTAAGGGTATTCAAACTGGTCTCTTGGAAATCTGAGTTCATTAACTATGTAATCCTTTTCATAATTTGCTAGAGAACCAGCCCCCCCATTCAATATCATTCCTCTCAATTATTACTTCATAATCTCCACTGCAATGTCTGGAAATTAAATTTAAAAAAATCCACAGATACACAATAGGATGCTGTGAGCCAGCATTTTATCACCACACTGACATGCTACGCTACCTGTGCCAACAGCTGATTAAACAGGTGAGCTCTGCCATGTTAGAGACTGTAAAGACCTCATTCAGCAACAGTCTATTAAGACATCAACAGTGACCCACAACTCAGCAGGCTGCCCACAGCAGGTGTGCTTTTCCTAACACTTAAACAAGATGAAGGAGGGGAGACGAGGAGGGTAATGACAGCAGAGGAGGTGTAAATAAGTGAGCCTTTAGCCTGCTTTTCCCTAGAGGCTGTCAGTATGCACAATTCAGGATACATTTCTGCCGAATGCTGCAATCTATCTTAAATGATGGATTGTATAGAAGGCCATCAAAATCAGTGTACAGTATACCTCTTATAATGTGAAAATAAATCAGCTGATCTCATTTGTATGTCAAAGAGAAATAAGTAGAAACCAGTGGATGGTTCACATTCAGATTAGAGTGTGATTTCTGACCCATATCTTGGCATTTGGTATAAAAGATGTGTGTTTCTGTAGGTCTGTGTTCGGTTAGTCAAAGCCAGAGAAGACCCAACATTCAGTAAAAGAGAGAAGACATAAATGGTTCTTTGTTATCGTAGCAATTTGTCTACATTGAGAGCAGTTTACTTGTTCTCATCGACACAGTCGTTCAGGCTAGTCATTAAGTGAGTCAAGCAGATTCCTGAGCTGACCTGTAACATAGGGAACAATGCTTACCTGTGTAAGTGTTTGCTCACACGTGTGTGTGATCTGGCTATACGTATGGTTGAGTCACGGTATATAAATATCCCGGAACACCTTTGTTTGCTCTTACATGTTTGCTTTTAGGTAAAAATATTAACAATATTAAGTGACTCTTGCCGCGGTGTCAAGAGTGCACTGACTTGTGGCATTTCTGGACATTGAAAGCACAGAGCCAGCAGAGACTGCTCACACCCAGACATTTGGCTTGAATTCAGCGCCTCGTTATGTGCGTACACCCATATTTTACCTCGTATTGAGGAGCGTGTAGGTGTGGCTAGACGTGTGTAGTGTTACAGTAAATGCTTAAGAAAAAGGCAGGAAAAACAAGCATGCAGGATGTCAGCGTATGCTGCAGTCAAAGGCAGTGTTGATGTTAAAACTTCAGGATCATGGCATTAATGGAGTCAGTGTGTGTTTTAACACTGAAGCATTGACTGCATAGCAAATAATTTACAGCGAGCGAGCCGAAACCTCGACCTGAGGAATGTCTGCATGTTCTACAAGCCAAAAGCAGCAGGAGAAGAACTCAGTTTCACCAATCTTCTCGGCTCATCTCTGTTTTCCCTGAGATGGACGAGGTGGGGGAGCAATTAGTGAAAGTAGCGATGTGCGTCCAGATGCTCAAGGCTATGCCATATCCTGTGTGTGTGTGTGTGTGTGTGTGTGTGTGTGTGTGTGTGTGTGTGTGTGTGTATCTTTACAAGCCCACACAGTTCCTGTTACAGCTCATTGAGAACTAGCACAACACAGGCTGGATGGAGAATGAGAGGTCGGAAGGAGCGTGTAGGTGAATCCTGCTCTGTCAGACAGTAAAACAAGACAAGCCGACTAGACTCTTGATACAGCAACACATTAAAAAGCTGCAGATTGACTATTCTAATGGCCAGTCTGAAGTTTAGCGCTCATTGTTTTTGATAGACTGCATACCGACAGGATTGTGTTCATTTTTTGTCTGTTTATATCTGGATTTCCTGAGAGGGGTGACTCCACTGATCAGGACAAAAACTTTTAAATGATAAAACAGATATTCTTCTTTTTCATGTGCAATACTTTAAGATTATTGTTGGAATATCATCACGATGGTGTCACCAGACTTTGAGGGGATTTGAAAGTAATGCCAAAACAGCAGAAACCATGTAGGTTACTAAGAAAATGTTTTCAACAAACACAGGGTCATTATTCTACCTTTTTCTCCAGCAACCAGACCGGTAACTTCAAACTTCCTCCATTCCCCCCTTTCCTTCTCCCTCTGTCTAAAACTCTACACAGCCTCACTGTATCTATTAAATGCCGTGTGTGCTAAGAGAGGCGCTCTTGTTCTCCTGCCAGTCTTGTTAAGAGGCTCAGAGCTGTGTGAAAGGATCCCATTGAGGGAGCAGAGTGTTATGGTTAACATGGTAAAGACCGCCAACTGCGTGCCGTTTGGGTTTCTTGGTGCAAATATTCACAGGGCTGTATTATTTAGCCCGTGCCAAAACTACTACATTACTTTTCTGTCTACTTTTTCTTCTTGTATAATAACTTAAGCTATCTTTGCACCTTGGTATCAAGTAAAACGACCACATCTTTCAGATATAATTAAAACTCACCCCATGAAGATGCTTCCACTATTCTTCTTCAGGTCTTCTTTCCCTGTAAGGAACACAAGAGCTGTAAAAACAAGCCAGAGAGGTGTTGCAATATTTTTCTGAGTGCCTCTTTTCTACTTATTTGGAATCCAGCCCCCTTTCATGTCTTGTCAAAAGCACATAAGTGAAACAGGAAGTTTTTTTCCTGTTAATTGGGTAAATTCCACCCGAGTGTGGGAGCACGCCGAGCAATGGCAGAGCCGTGTGGCAACAACACGAAAATGATGGAGTGCCAGAGGAAGAATGCGGGCCGACCACTCTTTCTCCATCATCTCCTACTACAGATGGACTGTAGTATCGGTCCATCTGCCATAAACTGCAGTTGTGTACTGTACGCAGAATTGTGCAGTATGTTGTCATTCAATCAAATGGTTTTTATTTCTATTTCAGAGCAAAATTAGGCTTTCCACTGTAAGCCAAGAACAGCTTTTCATTTTATGATATCAGCTGGCAAAAGCTGACCGCGCTTTCTTCATTTCTTTCTTAATGGTGAACATTGCTTTAGCCATAACCACAGCACAATTTGTGCGTGCGTTCATGTTCGTGCTGCTTTCTGTGACTATTATCTGGTATCAGATGTTATTTCTGAATGTGATTACAGGATCATAAACATTAGTTGGTTTGGGGAAAAACCTAAAGAGTGCCTGATGGATGTTTTATTTGTGAGAGGCATTTAGCCAAAAGCACTTTCAACATTCTTTTCTATTGGCAAACTGTTGTTTTTTTTTCTTTTTCATTGATATAATGCTGTTCTAAAATGGTTTCTGAGATAATTACCTAAGAAACACAGCATGCCTATTCTTTCTCTGTGTACTGTACAGCATTGTATATCTGTCCGCGGAGCATAAACCGGCCTGACTCTTCCAGAAAGTTCCCGCTAAGCAGCCATTTTTCATATATCTAAGCTCTGAGTCACAGTCTGTGGATGCGAAAAACAGAGTGACTACAAAACCACGTGTTATACCTGGCTTGTGTGACTCCTGAAACCTGACTTCACTTTGCGTGTAGCATATCTCTGAGCAGCCACATGCTTCCTTCATGTCAAGGGTGTAGTGTTTATATCTGAAAATAACCTGTTGCACTGCAGGGCTGGCTTTGGCACGCTGACCTGTGTTGAGGCCCGTGCTGCGCTCTGCATCCATGTGTTTATTTGTCTGTGGGACTGCTGCACAGAAGCTTTTTTGTGAACGTACGTGTGCGGTCAGTGGGTGTTTTTTCCTGTGATTTGCATACATTCGCACAGGTAAATCCAGCAGTGGCTGAGCGAGCGCTTCTTGCATGAGTGGCTGCTAAGTTAACTACGGGGACTCCTTTCTGCTGACACAACCCACGGATCTGTTACCCGAGGTCACTGTATCTCGCTCTCAGACAGTCCTTCAGCTGAACTGTAAATGTTTTTGCTTTCAAAGTGGAACTAGACACCCTAAAATAGATACAAATTGTCTTTTACCGCTAAACGTCTTACATGACTGCAAAAGACTAAACTGCTAACAACAGTGTCCTGGTCTTGGTTTCCCTTAATAGCTTAAACAATCTCTTCCACTATTGTCTCAAAGACATTCGGTCTTTAATTAGTGCAGACTGCATGCTACCAAAACATTTGTAGTATCTTTTAACCTGCTTTGTACCTCTTATTTTCTCTCTTTTCGCTATTATTGGCTTACTTTGATATTCAATCTCTCTCTGACTCCCTCTTTCCTTTTTTGGGAGCACTGATACGTTTTAGCTTTTCTCTCCACTGTAATTTTCTTCCTTCCTCTGTGTTCATCTGTTCAACATAAATATCACCTCACCCTCGTCGCCTCTGTTTCTCCTTCTCTCTCTTTCTTTCTCCCTCCCTCTCTTCTCCTTCCCATCTGGTTTAAACTCTCGTACGACAGGAGGGAGCTGAGCAGCTTGACAATAACACTGGAACCGTTTTGTTGTGGAGTAATCATCCTTTTACTTGGATGGCTGGCATTTAATGTGACACTCTTGGAAGCTTCTTCTTGGGTAAATCTGTACCAGTGACAAGTTGCGACTTGTCATTGATACAGATTTGTCACTGTCACAACTGCCTTTCGGTTCATGCAGGCTGATGCACGATCGTCTTCAGGCATATGTGCATGCATGCTCAGATGTTTCTGAGTAAGGCTCAGGCTTCTGGCTCTTTATCAGGGTGGACAGCGCCAGATAACAACACTATCTGTGTCTGCTGGTAGCCGTGTAAATAGACCTTAAGGAAAAGGGGACCCGGCGGACTAAAGCACTGTCTGGTGCGATGAAAGAGAGCAACTGTGTGCGTACGTGTCACCTTGTAAGCGACACACACTTACATGAAAGTGTGAGTGACCACTTTCTATGGTCTCACACACTTGGTGACCCAGCTGTGAGCAGACGAACACTAACCCAAAGGTACATGCACTTCTTAGTGAAACATTAACAACTGACATTAAACTTAATGCTTTGTGTCAAAGTTTGTTATTAATACCCTAAATTTTCATTTGGCGGCAAATAATTTAGCCCTGTGCTTGTGTGCGCGTGTGCATTTGCCCTTGCTTTTGCTCTTGCCCAGTAAAATCTGGTTTAGGGCTCATTTCCTAATTACAGTGCTGGCCAGAAGTAATTACAACCTTAGATTAAGAGCCGTTTCTCCTTTTTTTATAGGTTCACTGAAATGCAGCAATTTGTGGTGACTTGGGACGAGCATCCTCCTTCTCATCCTCTCTCTCTCTCTGTTACTCTCCATCTGCCTCTCTCTCTCTCGCTCTGCTCCTCTCCCTCTCTACTCCACTGGAATTTGGGGGATTTTATTTTTTGCCTCTTTGCAGATTTTCCACTCAAGTGAGAAGGTTAAAAAAATAGCGCAGTTAATCACATGAGCGGTTCATTTCAAACAAGAGATAGGGAAAAGCTGTGAAATATGACTTTAGTGGGCCTGCGTGTCTCTGTGGACATATGGACACGGAGGACAGCAGTTATTTGGGGTTTGCACTCAATCCGGGGCACTCCAAAGCCCGCAGATCCCTTTGCATGTGTGTGTCTATTTATGCAAGGTTTTGAAGTGGTTCTTCTGAACGCATCATTTGGATGCATCGGCAAGCTCTTCTTCAATTTAGCTTGGCAGGCGTATGGGCTGGGGTTTGCCCTCCACATACCGCTGGTTCAGCATTGATGTTTGAGGCTGAGGCCTTTGAAGCCAGGGGTTTTATTTAAGACGCCTCTTATAACGGAGGAGCTCCGGCTCTTAGTTGTCAACCAGAGAGCAGAATCCCCCCACCCCCTGCTGAGAAGCACCTGAAAAGGGGCACCCGGAAGGAGGATTTGCACTCCTTGAATCGCTCACACAGACTCCTTGCTAATTGCGATGAGACTCCAGCTTCACGTGTTCTCCAGAAAAATAAACACACGCACACATATTTGCACACTTACTCCAACTTTCTGTCCTGTCGACTCTCCTTTCCCTCCCCGCTGCGTAACTGCCCCGCTCTTATCCTCCTTTTGTACCTCTACCCCCCATATCTCTCCACTCTTCCCTTCCCTAGGCCTCCTCGCCTCACGTACCTGACTTTTAACCCTCTAATCCCTCTGATACAGAGGGAAGGGTGATTCAGCCACTGCTGCTAATTGGCATAAAAAAAAGATAAATCCTTCCCCTCTTAAACAGTTTGGAGAAAGAAAAGAATTATTCATTATAATAATCAGTAGATTTATAGGCAGCAGATGCTACTGTAAGATGTCCAGCTCATCTTTTTGTCTCGTCTCAAAACAAAAAACTTAAAGATCACCAACTGTCAGTCATCATCTGCAGCAGATTTAGACATCAGTGCTCTTTCCCTCTCGAGCTCTTTTGCACAGATAATGAAACACTGGCCTTGATTTTGTAAAAGAAAAAAAATAACCCAGAAGTAATAAAAATAACAGATAAAGGTACAGGCTGACACAACGTTGGTAACCAGATCTTGATGGGTCCTGTGGTTTCAACATCACTGTCACAGTGGTGTGACAGCAGGCCTGTGCTTAATTGTATAAATTAGATTCTAGAACAAAGGGGTCGCCTTAGTCATGCTTCCCCATCCACAGTCAGACACTTAAGGGGAATAAATATACCGGAAAGTGGAGCACGGATAATCAGTCTGAGGTTATTATGTATCTCGTGCACAACTGCAAGTCTTTGACTTCAATTTTTACATCACAGAAGACATGCAGCTTCCTTGTTTATCTCTTCCTGTAATCACCCTTCTTTCATCACTGAGACGGTTGTGTCAACAAGTTACTTTCTAGGCCTAACAGTCACTGAAACACGAAGCTTCAAGTCTCTACATGTTTTTAGTCTTACTTAACATATTAAAAAATTCAAGCACACTTCTGCATTCTGTAGTATTCCAAGCTGTGCCCACAAACAGTCTGTTGCGCTGTTGTCTTGCCATCTCTTCCACACATTATCCTCAAAGTTCTCCACATTAGTGGAGGATAATTGGTCTCCTGTGGCTGCTCTGCAATTTCTGTTGGCCTAATATAAACAGATTACAACTATTTTATACTGTCAGAAACACATTAGCTTCTCCTGTAGTGTAATTATAGTCTGTGAGGAAACACTTGGTGGTAATAGAGAGGCTTTTGGGGCAGTTTGTGCTGCTTATTTGGCCTTGGGATGGATCGGGTGATTTGCAGCATCTGTTTGTGTGGGCCTTATAAATGATGCTCATCTGAGGACTGAATTTAGGATTCAAGTGATGAGATATACTGTGATTTATTAGATTCGATTTTTTTTTTGATCAGGTGAGTATTTGGAACTATTCATATAATAAAACAGAGATGAAAGAACGCTGGTGAGATTGATGTTAGTATGTTTAATTTGGCACATTATTTGGAAAGGTGAGATCATATTTTCAGACACAGACACACTGAGATTGGTCTAAACCTGTTGATCCTGTCACTTGATTGGATGCTGGTTTATTGGTGGGCTTGATCACTGTGAGATTTAATCTTTCAGGAATGTGACCCCATGGCTCACTGCTCTGCTGCACACTTGCAGTAGATTTCTACCTTTCCGCACATCTGAGCAACTGTTTCATTTTTTATGTCTCTGCACCGAAATGCCTTCAGCTAAAAGTCAAATTGCGCAGAATGTTAAAAATAATAATGAAGTTATGTAATCCCTTTTAATAACAGTAGCAGCATTTGATGGACAGCCCAATTATTAGTAGCCTATTGCAACGGGGCTTCAGTAAGCTTTTTACTGGCAGCTGGCTTTTGGCGTTATACAAATGAAACATGGTTGTGTTTTAATCTACGGAATTACTCAAAATCTGAGGTTTAATCAGCGCATGCTTCATAATGCTGCTCCTATGAAACATAGCCCTTACTTCCTCGACAGTTTGTGCTTCACATTGAAAGCAATGACCGTCCAAATGCTAAAATAACCAAATGTACTGAATTTGCAACTTCGAGTGGTGTGCGTATTGGAGCCGTTTCAGCGCTCTTGTCCTGCTGAACTTGGTGTTGTGGGACGTCCCCTTGTGTGGTTCCAAAAACAGCTGTCCTCTGCGGTGGACACCGCTCGGTGCGGTGTAGACATTCGGCACGGCTCTTGCATGCTGCACGGCGTCCTGCGGTCCAACACCAGCCCGCCTCATTACCGTCCCGGCGGCTCTTTTTGCACCGCGCACACGCTCGCGTTTTCTGTTTTCTGGGTTTGTTTGGTTTATTTACGCGCTTTCCAAATATAAAGGAACTCGCGTTTTGTTGTCTGGAGAATTAATGGAGCCCACATCTCCAATAAACCTGTTGAATCCAATGACTCAGCAGCGCATCTATGCAAATAACCCATTTAAAAAAAATTAAATTCAGATTTCCACTTAGTTGCTGTGCATTTACAGGAGAAACAGGTTCGTGTTTAACGCACTGTACATTACAAGCAAAACGCGTTTTTGCAAAGCAGACACGAGTCTGTTGAATTATTTGAGCGAGTTTTTGTTAAGAAAGTTGTCACAGGAGAGAAAAAACTCGGTACCACTGTCAGCTTGTGCTTAAAAGAGGAAATAAAGCCGACAAACAGCTGGAGTGTTTTTTTTTTCTGTTATACATTCATTTTATTCTGACAGTCAGTCGATTCAGATGTTTTTAAAATGATCATTTACTTAACCCCGTTTGTCAATATATCCCTGTTCACGCGTCTTTACGCTGGACTCGATCATGCCGAAAGTGTTTTAGAGCTAAAACACACACACACACACACACATACACACACAAAAAACAAAACAATATTCACTCTACCATTTAAAATATAAGTAAGAATAAGTAAGTCAACTCTTACCCGTAACTTCGGAAAAGTGAAGCTGGAAGCGCAGCGCTTGTGTCTTTATCCAAGAAGAGCACTTCACCGATATAACTCCAAACCTGGTAGTTTCCCTGCGTGCGTTCTCGCAAAAAGAGACCTTTCTGTGAACGTATGAAACTTACAAGGAACGGTCTTCATGAAATCCTTGGAGGGGTACCCCTGCCTCCACGTCAAGGAATGCGTTCAAGTACCGACTCCCTGGACAAAAAGCGCTTTATTGGTGAGCACAGAGGAGAGTTTAAAGCGGAGGAATGGGAGGGGCGAGGCGCGCTGCAGTTGGGCGCACTCCTGTGCTGAGCGGAGAGCAACAAACATCTCACCTTGCAGCTTTGCAGAGCGCGAAGGAGAGAAATTCCAGGCTCTTTTCAGCTCACTATTTCTTAATTCCTACCTGCGTGACCTGTTTTGAGCAAGATACATTACTGATCTTACTATTTACTTTTACAAAAAGTTAGTCGCATTTCCTTTGAGGGACCATTAACTTTGCCTCAGAGCACTGTTTGTGTCTTTCTCTGCAAGAAATAAGCAAACTGATACAGGTTTTTGCTTGGATACAGAGAATGGTGAGAGCAGTCAATCAAAGTGACCAGTTGATCCCCAATTAACCTTCTGCATAAATAGGGAGTGCCTGCAAGATTAAAAATAGAGTGGACCAGAACAGGTTTGATTAGAAAGATTGAAAGCCAAAAGTCATGGATAATCTGAATGGATATTCAGATAGATTAGCAATGATCAGAAGGTGGAGAAAGTTATAGTTTTAGTGTGTCTAGCAGCTGAAGTTGTTGCCATCGGACAAATGGCCAAAGCCTAATCAGATGGAAAGGACTGGGGGTTAAAAAGTGATCCATGGCATATTCAACTTCACATTAAATGAGAATAATATGTTAGTAACTGTTTCTTTCATTTGTTCTTATGCTTCATCTGTTCATTCACTTATGGGGGACAGCCAGTTGCCTCCGCAGTGTACGTGCGGTTTACATTAGCTCATATGGTTGCTTTCGTTGACGGAGATGTCTTCAAGCTGAGAAAGCTATCAAATACTTCCTAACTCCAGTGACAAACTACCCGTTGGCAGCTGGGAGCCTATTTCAATGCCAGCCTTTCCCAACAAGGTGCAGTAAGGCGATAGCTCTCTGGAACTGTGTCACCACCGGTGTGTGCTTTTGGCCTCATGTCACAGAATTACACAGATCCCTGAAGCATACAGTGGCTGATTTTTATCAGCACGTTGCTGCTTTTTCTCTTAATGTTGGCAAGAAATTGTAAAAGATCATTTGAGCCAGGTTTAATTCCTCATGGCTGAAGGCAGAGACACTCCAACAAGAGAATTATTCAACTAGTAGACCTCTCTGTAGCCTTACACTATTGCACGTGTCTCCTTAAACCACCCCCAACTTTAAGTATCTTCTGAGCAACGGGTGCTTTAGTTAGCCACTTGTTGAGCCATGCTTGCGTTTTTCTTTTCTTTTTCTTTTTACCATTTACTGTTTGATAGCAGTCTCCACTTTGCCTGTGGCTCATGAATTTCTCTCGCTCATTTTCCTCCATGTAACGCACAGGCTTCCATCTGCAAAGCATTACAGTAAATGACAGGAATAGAGAAATGATTTCACACACGTTCCGCATGGGCCAGATGCAGCTCCAGAGTCACTGCCGCAACTAAGTCTCATGTGGTAGGAAGAAATAAAAAAAGAGTAAATAAGTCTTACCCTGCTGCATTTTAGTGCATATGTTTGAGGTTCACAAAGTCAGTGCCTCTGCCCTGGTGCTGTATTATCGTTTATATTTGTCATTCAGCTCATGTGAGTTGGTCCGGCATCTCCAGATTTGACTCTCATAATTTTTTATGCTTTGTTTTTACAACTTGCAGCAACCAGCTGGAGTAATCATAAATATTACCTCATCCTCACCAGGACCATGCTGCTTTTTTCACAGCTTTTATTTGAAGGAGTCCATAATGCACATTCTTAGTAATAATAACTTTATTATTATTTTATTATATGTGTGGAAATTCTTAATATTGAAAATGTTATTATGTTTTTCGTGTGTCATTTGTATGTAGCTAAAGACTTTAAAATCCTTCTTTCCTAAAACTACCCTCTGTAGTCTCAGTTCTGGGGCTGAGGCTGTTTAGTGGATTTGTTACCAAAATCTACATTTCTACTTAAGCTAATAAAGCATTTAACTGTATAATATTTATTACTTATATAATATGATTTAAACTTTTCTGACTTTAAGTATATTCTAGCCTCTTAGTTAAAAAGTAACAAATATCTGCTGTCAACAGATATTATCCAGTCTCATCAAACACTGCTTGAATAGTAGAATAGTCTATTTTTGGCCGTCTTCACATAGTTTCCTGGTTAAATGTCCCAAGCAGCAATGCGTTCCTGTAATCTGTTTCACATATTTACACATATTTAGCGGACAGGCATTTGGTCAGGGGTGTAAATCAAAGTGGCGGTAACAGCATTCTGCGTGCCATCAGCACGTTGCGCTCCTAATCACCAGGGCTCAGTAAAAGATGGTGAGGCAGCCTATAACACTGCCCAGGGGAACCAATAAAACACTGGTTTGGTGCTCAGCCAGTTCTGCAGCCTGCTAGGGGTTTAATGCTTGAGGCACTTAGTCATACAGCACCATGCTTGTTTTTTTAGTTGTTTTTTTTTTTTAAGGACTTAACTGAAAATTTCTTCTTGTCAGTTTTCATAAAAGATGCGCTCTTTAATTTTCTTGTAGCTCACTTCACTGTTATTCTCCTCGAATCCTCTTTTCCGTCTCATTTGGTCCTCTGAATATGTGGCTGCACAGAGTCAACCAGACTGTCCCCACCCTGTAGTGAAGCAGATGTTAACGATTACATCTGCTTCATCTTTTTGGTCTTCATTCGTCTTTTATTTATTTATTTTCTTGCCTCCATGATACGTGGTAACCTTTAAAGTCTCTATTTCATGTTTAACTTTGACCAAACACTGTATTTAACTGTAGATCTTAGCTGACACAGGATTAACTGTTTGGCATAATTATCCAAAATAGAAATATGACAATTTAAAGTAAAATTAACATGATTGTGAGGACAGTGGGTGTTCCATAGCACACAGACAGCTGTATGAGAAACACTTTTGTCTCAAAGGCACATAATACCACAGTCTCTAGTTTGGGTTCTTGGGTTTTTTGATGCTATGGCGAGGCTTCTGTCCATCGATTCGCAAATCACAAGAATTACTATTCCTTCTAGTATTGGTTAGATTTTAGTGAAACTTGCGCACACTGATGTGCTTAAGATCGAGGTGTAGGTCTTGTAATATGATGCAGATGATATATGGCAACTCATTTTACATTTTAGGCCGCATATAGCCCACTTAAATCTTGTGTGGGTCGAATCAGTGAAGGTCCCCTTCCTCTACGTGGCCTTATGTTGGTCTGTATGGGGTTTCTAAATATCACATTACTTTGGACCTCTGACCTCTTCTTCAAGTTCAAACGTTCATAAAATGCCTTTTTTCTTAAAACACTTGTTTTAAATTTATCTGCCTGTCTTTGTATTGGCAACTTTTAGGAAGTGATCGTCTTATAAGGAGATTCTAAATATCACATCCAAACATTTTGTCACATTTGACCTCTGATCTCACTTTTACATTTACATCTGCCTTTCTTTCAAATTGATCTTTCTGTGTTAACGTCTCGGTTCCTTGTTCGTCTTTGGTGCTGGTCCTCATGTCAGTATTAGTTCTCTTCATTATTTCCCGTTTTTACTTTGAATTCTGGGTTTTCTTTCATGTCTTGCATTAGTTTTGCTTTCTGTCGGTTTGATTGCTTTGATTTACTTTCACCTGTGTTGGTTATGTCCACCTGTGTCTCGGCCTCCTCCTGTCTACTCCCTAATCAGCACATTTTGTGTATACGTGTGTCATTTGTCTTTTGTGTCCCCTTAGGTTGATCTTTTTGCTGCTTGACCTCTTTTGGACTCTTTCCATCTTTTGTTTCTTTACCGCCGCCCATTAAAGCCTTGTTTTATTTCTTATTCTGCCTGCTTGAGTCCTTGCGACACAAAAATGTTATCAGAAAGGCTAAACTGAGTGTAAACTGTCTTCTACCTTCGTTTCTTCTTACTGATCTCAGTTTTCATGAGTTGAATGGGTCTTAATAATACACGTACATTCCCGTAAATATCAGTGTTTAATGTTAATTACATTTTAAGGGCCAGTTCCTTTATTCCTAAAGAAAGCTAAAAGGGATTAGAGTTGGATATTTGTTGGCTTGTTTGGCTTATTATATGTTGTTTGTGCTTACTTTGCTGTAATTATAGGTTTGTTCTGCATGTGCAACAACAGTTATTTTTCTTGTGGAAAATTACCCCCTTTGCTTTTTTCCCCATTTTTCTTGCTCACTACACTCTTGTCTAGTGTAGGCTTATTGAATATATATAATATAATGATAAGGTTAATTTTGTTATACCACATAAAGCACAAAGATGATGAGATATTTACACCAAATGCTGTAAGACCCTTTAAACGCATCTCCACATTTGTCCTGGACAAACAGACCGCCACGAGGACCCGAGCATAGACAGACCACATAACCTTTGTCGTTTCTCTTCCTTTGTTTGTCTCTATAATGCACTCCTGCTTTTCTTCTTCTTCTCTTTTTCCTCTGCTGCAAAAACGTTTCTGCCCCTCTCTGAGCCTGGTTCTCACGAAGGTCTCTTCCTGTTAAAAGGGAGTTTTTCCTTCCCACCATTGCCAAGTCCTTGCTCATAGTGGACCAGCTACTGTGAATTGGTGCTTATAATATGATTGAACTGAAGTGAAACCACAAAGGCCTAACCTTCATTGTCACGTCTGCAGATCTTTGCCAACACACAAACGTGTGCCTCGGTTTGAGGTGTTCATGTTTTGTTGTTCACAGCATGCCTGTGGCTTTTTACTTTTAGGAGCTTTTTGGGACAAAAAAACCCAAGAAAAGCATCCTTGGAGCAAACACGGGACAACAATGAGTGAGAATGAGAGCATGGTAACCACAAAATGACATTTCACTTATTCACTCATTCCACGTGTTGTCAGCCGGCACAACAAAATGCTGTCTTTTAAACAAACAAAGCTAGCTTTATGATCTCTCTTTTTTTTCATTTGGCTCCAAAAACAGTGTCCATCAAATTTTAGAGAGTAACACTGATGGCACATTTTGTAACCAAACAATGCAGCTATGCACATTTGCTAAACCATTTGTCATAATTTTCAAGATTTTTCCCTGTGACAAATCTCTGGTCACACAAAGTGTGAATATTCATTTGCTTTTCTCTGGCTATTCCTTCAACGTTATTTTGTTACACAAGTGTTTCAGGAATGCCTAACATCTGTTACTTTTTGAAATTTTGAAAAGCACAAAAGCTGCATTGCTTTCCTAGGACAGCGTGGGAATGATTAGTCGTTAATTTTCCATCCTCTGTCTCATTGAGAGGTTGAGGAGATTATGTCCTTCTTTAGTGTTTAGTGTATGTGCATAAATATTTGCAACTCTGTACATTTGCGTTTTGTGCACATGCACGCCATCCTCCTCTGTCCACAACTACATGTCTTCCCGTCACACATAAATGCGCTTTGACGGGAGTGTGTGTGTGGGCTGCCTAGAGACAGGCTGGGACCTCCTCTTAAGGCTTGAGCTGCCTTTCTTCCCACAGCACCCGGCAGGAGGATGTCCATGGGAAGTATAGTGCCGTGCAGAGGGGAAGAAACCTGGGAAAGAAGAGGGAGTACCTCAGAACATGCATGGTTAATTAGTGGCTGCTATGGGAACTTGAAAGGGACAGAGAAATATGGTCAACACAGCATGCAGCAAAGAAGCAGAAGTTGTCACTATTTGTGTAAGTGCAAACACATAATGCTAACATTAGATACACCATATCAGATAAAAGTGAAGTGTCGTCTGTTTCCACCCATCCTCTCTTGCGAGGTCTAAACATTATATGTCAGTGTGTTCCTCATAAAGCTGTCTTCCTTAGAGGAACCTTTCGCACATAAATTATTATTGTGTGCTGTGCCGTCCATCGTTGG